CAAGTGATGCTCTGTCTTCTTGGTGCTTGGGGGGGGCAACAGTGGGAGGGCTTCTAGTGTCCTGGCCCCACTGCGGGACCTCCTGATGGTCTCTGGTATTTTTGGCCACTGTGTGACAGAGAGTGTTGGACTGGATGGGCCATTGGCCCAGCATTGGCTTCTCTTGTGTTCTTATGTTACCTCCCCCCCACACCCCCAGTGATCCCTGTTCCATGCCCAGAAGATGACAAAAAAACTCCAGGATCTCCAGCCAAACTGGCCTGGAGAAAACATACTGCCCAACCCCAAAGTGGCGATCAGCATTTCCCTTGGGGGTGTCAGAAAGGGCCACGAGAACTAAGCCCTGATGCAACCCTTCCTGTCCTCCCACTCATGATCTGCCTAATGATGTGAAAGACCTCCGCCTGAGACCCTGGAGAGCCACGGCCTGTCTGAGTAGACAGTACTGACTTTGATGGACCAATGGTCTGATTCGGGATGAGGCGGCTTCACATGTTCATGTGTGACTCCAGGGATTCCAGACTTTCCAGCTGCCTAGACCAAGTTTGATAAAACAGAATTTTAAGCGGGTGCCTTCTTCTAGTTTGCATTTGACATTCGTGGAAAACGCACATTTCCAAGTGAAGCCGAAGCCTGATTTTAAACACGATCCTGGCGAGTGAAGGGCACCTCCCCCAAGGAGCTTTGCAGTCACACAGCATCTCATTTAAACAGTCAGGCCAAATTTAAGGGGCATCACGTGAACTCAAACTGCCTTTGCCTTCTGTGACTGCTGGTTAGAGAGAGCTCAGATCTCAGTGAAACTCTCCGGGCTTTCCTCTGGGACTTTGGGGCAGTTTCTGCACATGTTGGTGGAAAGCGCTGTCAATTTGCAGCTGACTTGCGGGCGACCCTGTAGGGTTTTCAGGGCAAGAGACGAACATAGGTGGTTTGCTGTTTGCCTGCCTCTGCGTAGCAACCCTGGACTTCCTCAGTGGTCTCCCATCCAAGTACTAACCAGGAATGATCTTGCGTAGCTTCCAAGATCTGACCAGATTGGGCTAGCCTGGGCCATCCAGGTCAAAGAAAGATATGAACAGAGGTAGTTTGCCGTCACCTGCCTCTGCGTAGCAACCCTGGACTTCCTCGGTGGTCTCCCTTCCAAGTACTAACCAGGGCTGACCTTGCGTAGCTTCCAAGATCTGATCAGATCGGGCTAGCCTGGGCCATCCAGGTCAAAGAAAGATATGGACAGAGGTGGTTTGCCGTCACCTGCCTCTGCGTAGCAACCCTGGACTATCTCTGTGATCTCCCATCCAAGTACTAACCAGGGCTGACCTTGCGTAGCTTCCAAGATCTGACGAGATCGGGCTGTCCTGGGCCATCCAGGTCAAATACAGATATGAACAGAGGTGGTTTGCCGTCGCCTGCCTCTGCATAGCAACCCTGGACTTCCTCAGTGGTCTCCTATCCAAGTACTAACCAGGAATTACCTTGCGTAGCTTCCAAGATCTGACGAGATCGGGCTGTCCTGGGCCATCCAGGTCAAATACAGATATGAACAGAGGTGGTTTGCCGTCGCCTGCCTCTGCATAGCAACCCTGGACTTCCTTGGTGGTTCTTTCTTGGTGACTTCCTGTGTGCAGTTCTGGAGGCCTCATTTCAAAAAGGATGTGGGCAAAATCGAGAGGGTGCAGAAGAGAGCGACGAGGATGATCAGGGATCTGGAGACTGAGCCCTATGGGGAAAGGCTAAGGGCCTTGGGAATGTTTAGTTTGGAGAAGAGGAGATTGAGGGGGGACATGATCGCTCTCTTTAAATATTTGAAAGGCTATCATATGGAGGTGGTTAAGAAGCTGTTCCAGTTGGCAGCAGAGGATAGGACCCGAAGCAACGAGTTTAAATTACATGCAGGAAGGTATCGGGCTGGATATCAGGAAACACTTTTCCACGGTCAGAGTGGTTCAAAGGTAGAATCGGCTGCCTAGGGAGGTGGTGAGCTCCCCTTCACTGGCAACCTTCAAGAAGAGGCTGGACGAATATTTGTCAGAGATGCTCTAGGCTGGTCCTGCATTGGGCAAGGGGGTTGGACTAGACGGTCTGTATGGCCCCCTTCCAACTCTAGGATTCTGTGTCTCCCACCCAAGTACTAACCAAGACCAACCTTCTGTGACTGCTGTTTAAAGGAAGGCCAGATCTCAATGAAACTTTCAGAGCTTTCCTCTGAGGTTTTCGGGCAGTTGCTTTACATGCTCATGGGAAGTGCTGGCAGCTTGCAGCCAACTTACGGCAGCCTTGTAGGGTTTTCAAGGCAAGAGACATTCAGAGGTGGCCTGCCATTGCCTGCCTCTGCGTAGCAACCCTGGGCTTTCTTGTGGTGGTCTCCCATCCAAGTACGAACAAGGGCTGACCCTGCTTAGCTTCTGAGATCTGACAAGATTGGGTTCGCCTGGGCCACGCAGGGCAGGGCAGTTTCCGTGTGGCCTTCTGCAAATCAGGCCCTCAGTGTGGCTTTCCCGGCCTTGCAGACAAACCCACCAAAGTCAGTAGACCACACAGCTTTGTTACTAGCCCACTGGTACTGGTGAGTCATTTGCCGCCTAAATGAAAAGCTCTGCCTTTAAGAACATAAGAGAAGCCAATGTTGGACCAAGCCAATGGCCCATCCAGTCCAACACTCTGTGTCACACAGTGGTCAAAAATACCAGGGGCCATCAGGAGGTCCAGCAGTGGGGCCAGGACACTAGAAGCCCTCCCACTGTTGCCCCCCCAAGCACCAAGAATACAGAGCATCCCTTGCCCCAGACTGAGCATTCCTATCTACACCTTGTGGCTCATAGCCACTGATGGACCTCTGCTCCAGATGTTTATCCAATTCCCTCTTGAAGCCGTCCATGCTTGTAGCCGCCACCACCTCCTGTGAAGCATGGTTGCCTGCCGGTGATATTTGTTCACCCAGGGTGACTGAGCCAGTCGTCGTTTGCACGCTTGGCTTTCTTTCCAACACGCAGTGTGGAGTTGGAGGAGCTCCACGGCTGTGTCACCACCACTGAAAAGGCCCCGCTGTCGGTCACTACTCACTCTACTTTGGAAGGTGGGGAGGGGGCACTGAGAGCAGGGTCCACCGTGAAGATCTTAATGGGCAAGTTCACGTGGATGCAGGAGGATCCATAGCCTCTCTACTACTTCTTCTTTTTATATAACTTTATTTTTATTAACTTATTTTCAATTTTTTACAACTCAGTAAATAATAAACGTACCTTGTACAATATATAGTACTCAATAGTCAAAATAAGTTATTGAACAATGTTTAAAATAATCAGTAAAACAAGTCTGTATACTTAGTAGATAATACATCAGCATTGTTCTTTGACGAAGTAACATATGAAAAGAATGCAAACCATTTTCCCACAAACGCGGATTCTTTAGAGGGGTTTTTAGCTGCCAATAGCTGCGATGCAATCTTATCCATGGCTATTATGTCCCATATCTTCGAGAACCACTGCTGAAGCGTTGGAGTATTTTCTGTTTTCCAGAATCGGGCTATTCGTGTTTTGGCAGTGTTTAATAGTAATGAGGCGAGTTCAGACATGTTATAGGTGAGAGAGGCAATTTCCCAATGATTTATGAGTATAGAAACTGGAGTTCTTGGAATTCACAGACCAATGATTTTGTCCATAATTGGAAGAGTTAGGGCCCCAAAAGGTTGCACCTTAGGACACGACCACCAACAGTGTAGAAATGTTCCTGTCTGCCCACAACCTTTCCAGCATTTAGGGTCTTTTATAGAGTTAGAGTGGGAATAGTCCCAAGTGGTGTCATATACCATCTTGCAAACATTTTGTCGTTTTGAAGTCGGATGTTAAGCGATTTGGTAGTATATAGACACGAGGACCCGATTTTAGACCATTGGCCATCTGTCAGATCTGTGGCACAGTCCTTGTGCTGTGCCCACAGTCTCTGCTTCTCAGTCACACTCTTTTTATCCTGTCCTGCCTATAGGGAGCTCTGGGCAGCACGCACTGTTCTACCGTCCCCTGTTCTATCCGCATAACAACCCTGTGGGCTCAGAGACGGTAGCTGGTCCAGCAAGCTTCGTGGCAGAGCGAGGTGATGAAGTCAAGTCTTTCATCTCCCAGTCTGATACTTTTAACACCACCCTGGCTTAGATGTTCGCATAGGGTATTTTTAGAATCATAGAACCTAGCGTTGGGAGGGACCTCCAGGGTCATCTAGTCTAACCCCCTTCATAATGTAGGGAATTCACAAATACCCCCCCCCCTCTGAATGACCCCTGTTCCACGCCCAGAAGGTGACAAAAAACCTCCAGGATCCCTGGCCAAACTGGCCTGGAGAAAATTGCTTCCTGACCCCCAAAGCGGCGAACAGCATTTCCCTGGGTGTGTCAGAAAGGGCCACGAGAACTAAGCACTGAGGCGACCCTTCCTGCATTCCCTTCTCATGATCTGCCTCAGTTCACAGAATCAGCCTTGCTGTCAGGTGGACATCTAGCCTCTGTTTGAAAACCTCCAGAGAAGGGGAGCCCCACCACCTCCCGAGGAAGCCTGTCCCACCGAGGAACCGCTCGAACTGCCTGGAAGTTCTTTCTCGTGTTTAGGCGAAAACTCTTCTGATTTAGTTTCAACCCGTTGGTTCTCGTCCGACCTTCTGGGGCAACAGGAAACAACCCCGCACCATCCTCTAGGTCACACGGCCCTTCAAGTACTTGAAGGTGGTTATCCTATCACCTCTCCATCGTCTCCTCTCCAGGTTAAACATACCCAGGTTCCTTCAGCCTTTCCTCATAGGACTTGGTCTCCAGACCCCTCACTGTCTTCGTTGCCCTCCTCCGGACACGCTCCAGCTTGTCTGTATCCTTCTTAAATCGTGGTGCCCAAAACTGAACGTGATGCTCTAATTTTTTTTTGTCTCACCTGTCTCAGCTCCTGCTATGTGACAGTTGCCCAACTCAGCTTCTGTTTCTCAATCTCCCCCCCCCCCTCCTTTTTGTCCTCCTCCAGCAGCGACCAGGACAGGGGGCGGCTAACCCCCTCGCCGGACATCATTGTCCTTTCCGACAATGAGGCTTCCAGTCCCCGCTCCAGTTCCCGGATGGAGGAGAGGCTCAAGGCTGCCAACCTGGAGATGTTCAAGGTGAGCCACTTCTCCGCCCCGGTTCCTGCGAAGGAAGAGGCCAGGAGCGCTAAGGACTCAAAGTTCCCGCTCGGATACCAGATATTAGTCCGTTTGGCCATACAGCATGCACGGTCGTCGCTTCTTCCAAGGGATCTTGGAACTTGTAGTTCTAAGGGGGTGCTGTTCCGTGTGCTTTCATCGAGGCCCTTAAGTCTTTGCTGGTTAGACAGTGGTTTCTGGGGTGATTCTACCCTCCGGGCATTTTCCCGGGGCATGCAGCCATGGGAAAGTGCAAACCGCGCCGCTTGGGTAACACGTGAGATCCCGGCAGGAGCTCCAAAGCTCATTAATGTTTTTGCAAAAACGAGGTTACGGCTTGTGCCCCGGGGCCGTTCTGGCGTCCTCGGCCTCTCTGGCCGTGGGCCAGAGGAGACAGGGAGATCCTGTCCGTGCACGTCTGCAAGCGATCCTTTTGCTCCCCGCCGCTGATGGGGCGCCTCTCACCTCGACCCCGTGTGTCCCCCTCTCCCCAGGGCAAAGGCGTCGAGGAAAGGCAGCAGCTGATCAAGCAGCTCCGGGACGAGTTGCGGCTGGAGGAGGCCCGGCTGGTGCTGCTCAAGAAGCTGCGGCAGAGCCAGCTGCAGAAGGAGAACGTGGTACAGAAGGTGATGCGTTGCACGGGGGCCCCTCGGAGGGGGTGGTGGGTTCGTGGGGCGCACGACGGTTCCTGGACGGTGTGCCGTGAGGACGGCTGAAAATCTGAGCCCCCCCGCCAGATGCCGAAAATCTGAGCCCCCCCGCCAGATGCCGAAAATCTGAGCCCCCCTGCCAGATGCCGAAAATCTGAGCCCCCCCCCCCCCCAGATGCCGAAAATCTGAGTCTCATGCCAGATGCGTCCACCATCCTTTGTCTGTTAGGACAGGGAGATTGTGCACGGCATTGGTTCCCCTACCCGCATTTCCCCTACCCCCATCTCGTCTGTGACATCATCTCATGGGAGGGGCCCCTGGGATTCTTTGACACTCCCCCTTGTGCCCCCTTACGGTCATCACCGTTCACCTAGCACAACCCCCTCACACACACACCCGAGCCCTGATTCGGGTCAGGACAGATCACCGGAAGGTAGGTTTGCCAGCATCCGGTTGGGGCCCGGAGATCTCCCGGAATCACAGGTGGTCTCCAGACTGCAGAGATCAGTTCCCCTGGCAAACATGGCCATCTTGGAGGTCTCCTCTCTGCTGAGCTGGTTCCCCTCCGTGAACTCCACCTCCCCAGGCTCCGATGCTCCCTCCAAGCTGTGGAGTCCCGTGAGCAAAAATTCTGCTTTGTGAGCTGCTGGCATGAAAGTTGTGGGCGAGCGATGGGGCTGCTGCATCAATTAGTTTGCTCCAGAGCCCTCCTTCCTGAGCCGAGACAAAAATGTGTGAGCCAGTGGCTAAAAAGCTGCGAGCTGGCTCCACACTGACTCAGCTTGGAGGGAACAGGGCCAGGCTCCACCCCCAGATCTCCAGGAATTTCACAGCCGGGAGCTGGCAACCCTACCTGGCAGCAGTAGCTCCGTTCTGGCATGACTGGCGTTCCCTCTAAGCTGAGTCAGTGTGAGCCAGCTCACAGTTTTTTAGCCTCCGGCTCACACCTTTTTGTCGTAGCTCAGGAAGGAGGGCTCCAGAGCAAACTAATTTTTGCAGTAGCTAAATCACCTGCTCACAGCTTTAATGCCAGTAGCTCACAAAGTGGAATTTTTGCTCCCAAGACTCCGTAGCGTAGAGGGAGCATTGTTCAGACCCCAGCCGTAGGTTTGCTCTGACAGTGGTTCAGAACCCAAACGGCCATTTGAGCTTCCAGACATCCCGGCAGGCCGTGGTTTTAACACCTGCGCGCCTGCTTTCGTTTTCAGCTTGGTCCTTGCTCTGGTCTCTCGGGGGGAAGCGGAACAGCACCTGCAGCCATGGCTTTGTCAGTTCAGGCGCTGTGGTCAGCCACGATCAGCACATCCCATGGTCTGCAGAGCTGCTCCAAGCCCCGCTTTGAGTCACTGACTCGCCAGTGTGGTGTAGACTTCTGGTCCAGACATCCCCCGCCAGCCCGCTCCGCACTCATAATGTCAAATCGTGGTCTGGTGCTGTGGGAACAGTCCCCGGGCTTGCCCCTCCCCCTCTCTTCCCCATGCGGTTTAATTAACGACCACCACATTAGATTCCAGGATATACGAACCAGCCCAAGTCTGCTTTGTGCATCTGTGGCTTGCTGGTTTACACTTCCGTGGCTTGCAAGTTTGGGGCAGAAGCAGACAGACATAGTTTGCTGATTCGACTCTTCAACGAGAAACTGCCGGAAACGCCGGGGGGGGGGGGGGGATGTTCCGGGAGCTGGAATGGTTGTCGCATGACGTGCCCGTTTCACAGGAGATGATGTCGTGTGACATGCCTACGTCACCCGGAAGAGCCAGTTTGGTGTAGTGGTGAGGAATGCGGTCTCTAGTCTGGGATAACTGGGTTTGATTCCCCACTCCTCCACATCCAACGTGCCTATGTCCTTCCGGGTGACGTAGGCACGTTGCGTTCATTTCTGGTGATGTTGCTGTGGGGGGGGGGGGGTTCCTCCCACTGGCTGGCGGTGGACGGGAGCCCACGAAACCGGGGTGTCCCCCGCCCCGAACTGGGGAACGGCAACCCTAGCTTATTCCCATAGTCCCAGGTGATGGTTTGGGGTTACACGCAAGTTGACCCACAGAACCCTTGCTCGGTGCCACGTCCGAGTAGAGCCAAAATTAGCCCGGCCGCTCCACGTTTGCTAAGGACGGTAACGTCCCTGTTCTTCTGGGGAGTTATCGAGAAAGAACACGTGTATCCTTGAAAGGTGGAGTGAAGCAGGTCTCCAGTTTTGATCCAGGGAGGCCCAGTACTGCCGGTACCTACGGCACAGGAAACCAAAGCCCTCCATCAAAAGTAATACCAGCGTCGCTGTCTCTGTTCTCTGCTAGACTCCGGTGGTTCAGAATGCAGCCTCCATCGTTCAGCCATCTCCTGCCCATGTCGGACAGCAGGCTCTGTCCAAACTTCCCTCCCGGCCTGGAGCTCAGGGGGTCGAGCCCCAAAACCTCCGAACATTACAGGTAAGGAATGCGGTGGTCCGCTGGTTCTTCCTCTCACTTCCCGAACTGTTCCTTTTGGGCTCTGGAGCGTGACAATCGCGAGTCCCTTCGGGAGACGCCTGCTACTTAGCTGTAGCAGTGCAGTGTCCCACGGTCGCAGGAGTTCCAATCAGCTGTTGCCCTTTCCGAGTTTAACGTTTGACGTCTCGCAGAGTTCAATTCCCGTGTGTTCCAGAAGCAAATTTTGCAAGGTTGCAAAATTTTGCCCAGAGTCATTATCCTTGTCTCGTGCGACTGAAAAAAATTGGCTTGTCTTGCTTTCCTCTCGTACTCGCCCACCAAAATCTAATTGGCTTGGCTTGAAAGTGAGAATCCTGTATACTGCTGTACCCTCCCATTAATCTGACTTTCACTTACTTTCCCCTCGCATTCATGCATGTCCTTTGCAGACAAGGCAGGCCCCCCTCTGTTCACCCTGTGCAGGACCAGCAAAGCACTGTCTCCTTCAGGCCACAGGGTGCCAACAAAACACTATCTCCTCCAACCGGCAGGATGCAAACAAAGCGTTTTCTCCTCCACTGATTCAGCGGGACACAAACCAATGCTGCCCCCACCCATAGCACCACGCGACGCAGGCCGCCCTTCACCACAGGCACAAAGCGTTTGAGGAAGCGCGCGCATGCTCGTAAAGAATGGAAGAGCCACTCAAAAATAAACCTTTCCGGGGTTGTCTCAGTAGCAAGCCTGTTTGAACTCGTCTGCCCTTCATTACGGGTTTCTTTCTTTTCAGTTTTAAGCTTGCAGAGATCAGCCAAAAAGCACACAAGCGGTTAAGATTTCATGAGTCGACTGCATAGCAGGATAGAGCCCCGGGTAACTCCTGTGTCGGCATCGCTCCTTGCCAAGCAGCAGGAGGGAGCTTCGAGAGACCCTTTGCTTTCTCCAGGTCTTCTTCACTGCGCGGTCTGTCATGGGAGATACTGCTGGGCTTTGAACGACGCCCCTCTCCTGTTCCTGTCTCTTGGAGACCTTCCTGTTGTGTTTGAGGAGGGGGGGGCGTTTTCCCCTCGTAGGGCCGGCCAGCTCTTTCCAAGAAACCCCCCCTCTTTTTCCCCTCCGCACCATTGCATCGGTTCCCAGAAACGCATTAGCATTGCGTTGACCTTTTTTACGACGTGCACGACGCTAGACGCTCCGCGTTGGGGGATAGGGGGGAGGGTGCGGCCACTGCGCCTGGATCCCCGCCAGAAGACATCTTGGCAGCCCAGGTCCTTCAGTGGGAGCCTCTTCCCTGAAGACAAAAGACACACCTTCATGCTCAGGCAGCCAGCTGTTTTGCCGGCATCTGCTGCCACGACGAGGCCGGATGCAGAAGCCGGGAAGCGAGAGCCCAGGACGACTTAAGAACCTAAGAGAAGCCAAGGTTGGATCAGGCCAGTGGCCCATCCAGTCCAACACTCTGTGTCACACAGTGGCCAGAAATACCAGGTGCCATCAGGAGGTCCAGCAGTGGGGCCAGGACACTAGAAGCCCTCCCACTGTTGCCCCCCCCCCGCCAAGCACCAAGAATACAGAGCATTTAGGGTCTTTTATAGAGTTAGAGTGGGAATAGTCCCAAGTGGTGTCATATACCATCTTGCAAACATTTTGTCGTTTTGAAGTCGGATGCTAAGCAATTTGGTAGTATATAAGAACATAAGAGACGCCAATGTTGCATCAGGCCAAAGGCCCATCCAGTCCAACACCCTGTGTCACACAGTGGCCAAAAAGACCAGGTGCCATCAGGAGGTCCAGCAGTGGGGCCAGGGCACTAGAAGCCCTCCCACTGTTGACCCCCTCCCCCCAAGCACCAAGAAGACAGAGCATCCCTTGCCCCAGATGGAGAGTCCCTATCTATACCTTGTGGCTAATAGCCACTGATGGACCTCTGCTCCATATGCTTATCTAATTCCTTTCGGGAGGGCCGTTGTGGGTTTTGCTCATGGACTTGTTCTGACTCAGGAGTGGCCGGCGGGTGGATCACTGGCAAGAGGTGGCCTAAGAGAAGTTCACTGCAGCTCTAATACAGACACGCCGTTTTGTTTCACACGCCAATGTTTACGCCTCTTTTTGGCTTTTGAAGAGTAGCCGAAGAGGCCCGCCGGATCAGAACAGTGGTCCATCTAGTCTGGATCTCTGCTTCCCACAGTGGCCAAGCCGGATACCTCCGGGAAGCCCAGAAGCAGGGTGTGAAGCAGGCCCATAGCCACGGTGGGGCTTTGGGGGGGCCCGCCCCCTTTCTTGAAGGCACAGCCCCACAAGAATGTCTCCTGTAAATGCTTTTCTCAGTCATTTAAAAACATTTTTTTAAAAAAGGCGTGTGCTCCTTTAAGCAGAGTGGGCTGCTGCAGTTGACTATTTCCCACACCGAGCAAGGGGGTTGGAGTAGGTGACCTCTAGGATCCCTTCTAATTCTGTTTCAAGAAACTGGTCTCCTTGAAAAGAGCTTTTCTGCCGTAAGTGTGAGCTGTCTTGACTATAGAAGTCATCACCCCCACCTGCCGGCTTGTTGTCAGAATCGTTGCTTAGGCTGGCAGAAGTGATTAACTTGCAGCCGCTGAGAACCGTCATCTAAAGTGGTTGACAGCTTGCAGTTTACAGATCTATTCTGCTCACACCTTTCGATTGGCTAAATGGCTTTTCTTTCTGCACTGAGAACTGCAGCCTCACCAGAAAGAATTTGCCCCACCAGCCACAAAATCCTGGCTCCGGGCCTGGCGTGAAGGCCATCTGGTTGCCTCTCAGCCCCCGACGCCCAGTGGCAGAGTGCCTCTGAAGCTGGAGGTTCCACTTAGCCGTGAGAGCCACGAAGGACTGATTTAAGCTCGAGGTTGACGAGGCAGAAGCGCCTCCCGGTGGGTCTTTGCACTTACACAGCATTTTGTCGACACTTTGGCTGCTCCTCTGCAACACCGTCCTCGGTTTGGGCAGCTGCGGTGTGCTTGTTAACCGCAGCAGGGCACCTTCCTGAGACACTGGGTCTGTTCTCACGACCCACTCATGAGCTTCTGAGGGTACCCCGGCTCATCGTTTGAAAACGACCGCTGTGCAGACATGTCTCGCTCGAAGCGATTTTGCCGCCGGTCCGTTGAGCCGGGAGCGGGCAGGCGGCGCAGTGCCAGCGAGGCTCAAAAGTTCCGTTCCAGTCCTGGAACTCAAAACATCCCTGAGCTGGTCAGAGGGCTCCAAAGGAGGCAGAGACGCAGGATCATAATGCCCCTATATAAATCAGTGGTGAGACCTCATTTGGAATACTGTGTGCAGTTCTGGTCACCACACCTTAAAAAGGATATTATAGCTTTGGAAAAAGTGCAGAAAAGGGCAACTCGAATGATAAAAGGGTTGGAACACTTTCCCTATGAGGAAAGGTTAAGGCGCTTAGGGCTCTTTAGCTTGGAGAAACGACGACTGAGGGGTGACATGATCGAGGTTTACAAGATTATGCATGGGAAAGAGCAGGTAGAGAAAGAGGTACTTTTCTCCCTTTCTCACAATACAAGAACTCGTGGGAACTCCATGAAACTGCAGAGCGGTCGGGTTAGAACGGATAAAAGGAAGTCCTTCTTCACCCAAAGAGTGATTAACACTTGGAATTCACTGCCACAGGAGGTGGCGGCGGCGACAAGCAAGGACGGCTTCAAAAGGGAATTAGATAAGCATGTGGAGCAGAGGTCCATCAGTGGCTATTAGCCACAAGGTATAGATAGGGGCTCTAGGGCAAGTGATGCTCTGTCTTTTTGGTGCTTGGGGGGGCCAACAGTGGGAGGGCTTCTAATGTCCTGGCCCCACTGGTGGACCTCCTGATGGCACTGGTATTTCTGGCCACTGTGTTGGACTGGATGGGCCTTTGGCCTGATCCAACATTGGCGTCTCTTATGTTCTTATGTACACCGCTGGCTCTGCTGCTCTTAACGGCCCTCGGCTCTTGAACCCTCCAGCGGCTTTTCCGGAGCGTCGGCCCGCCGACTGGTTCGGCAGCCCAGTGGCCGATATGCCCGACAAGCCGCTAAGCAGCTCGAGGGTTGCGTGGAGACACTCCCGCATGCCCGATGTGGGGCCCCCGCAGTATCATTCCCACCCCCGGTGTTTAGACTTGCCAGTCTCCCGCTTGGCCGCCAACCGAGAGTGTCGGCCATGGGGTCTTATCAGGAAAGGTCAAATAAAACGGTGCCTTTCCGGCACTGCCGCCGCGCTCCTTCTCAATAGACTGGAGGTCAGTGCTCCCTCTAAGCCGCGGAGCCTTGTTAAGCAAAAATCCTACTTTGTGAGCTATCGGCATGAAAGATGTGAGCGAGCAATTTGGCTCCTGCATAAATGAGTCTGCTCCGGAGCCGTCCCTTCCTGAGCCAAGACACAAAATGTGTGAGCCCGGAGGCTAAAAAACTGCGAGGTAGCTCACACTGACTCAGCTTAGAGGGAATACTGCCGGAGGCCACTCTGAAGCTCCTTGGAAACCCACATGGGGCTCTTCAGTCACCAGAACAGGGATGGCGGAGGCACTTCTCTCCCAGACAGGGGCCGTGGCTGCGGGGGGGGGGGGGGGGGGGGGGGCGGGTTGCCCGGCCACATCCTTGGTTGCACCAATCAACTCAAGACTTGGGTTCGCTGTAGTACTGCGTACTTCACAGCTGAGGACAGCGTTCTGCTCTCTGCACCTTGGGTCAGTCACAAGAGAGCCAGTTTGGTGTAGTGGTTAAGTGTGCGGACTCTAATCTGGGAGAACCGGGTTTGATTCCCCCCTCCTCCACTTGCACCTGCTGATGTGACCTTGGGTCAGTCACAAGCTCTGGCACAGCTGTCCTTGAAAAAGAGCAGTCTGTGTCAGAGCTCTCTCAGCCCCACCCACCTCACAGGGTGTCTGTTGTGGGGAGGGGAAGGGAGAGGAGTTTGTAAGCCGCTCTGAGACCAAGGGCCGGGTATAAATCCAATCTCTTCTCTTCTTCTTCTTACTCCAATCTGGGCCCTGCCGCTTTAGCTGTCCT